CTATTCTTGGGGGGAAAAGGGGTGTGGGAGATGCGGGAAGAGACTGGACAAAAATCATGCACCTATGGATGAACACAGTGGGTGGGGAGTGAGGGCGGAGGGTGGGGTGGGAGCTGGAAGAAGGGGAGTTATGGGGGGAAAAAAGAGGAACAAATGTAATAATCTGAACAATAAAGATTTATTTAAAAAAAAGAATTATTGGGAACTGTCAACTTTTAATACTTTCTTAAAGTTTGATCTAAGTATATCAGATAAAGACACTACAAAGCAAGGAATCACAAGACAATATCCCTGATGAATATAGATGTTAAAATCCTCAACAAAATATTAGCAGACTGCATGAAGCAATATAATAAAAAGATCATACACCATGACCTACTGAGATTTATTCCAGGGATGCAAGACTGGTACAATATCTGTTTATGTGATACATCACATAAACAAATTGAAATACAAAAACCACATGATCATATCAATTGATGCAGAAAGAGCATTTGACAAAATCCAACAATGAGGTATCATTTCACACCTGTCAGAATGGCTATCATCAACAAATCAACAAATGCCTAGTGCTGGAGAGGATGTGGAGAAAAAGAAACCCTCAATACTGGTGGGAATGCAGACTTGTGCAGCCACTGTGGAAAACTGTATGGAGTTTCCTCAAAGAATTAAAAATGGAAATTGCACTTGACCCAGTAATCCCACTTCTAGGACTATATCCCAAAATATCAGAAACATCAATCAGAAAGGATATATGGACCCCTATGTTCATAGCAGCACAATTCACCATAGCTAAGATTTGGAAATGGCCTAAGTGCCCATCAGCAGATGAGCGAATTAAAAAACTGTGGTACATCTACATAAAGGAACACTACTATAAAAAAGAAAGAACTCTTACAATTTGCAATACCATGGATAGAACTAAACAAAATAAGCCAATCAGAGAAAGATAAGTATTACACGATCTCACTCATTTGTAGAATATAACGAACAACATAAACAAACAAACAAACAAACAAACAAACAAAAATAGATCCAAAGACATGGAAGCATTGAACAGACAGTCAAATTTCAGACATAAGGCAGGGGAAGGGGGAAAGTGGGGTAAGAGATCAACCAAAGTACTTGTATACATGCATATAAGCATCACCAATGGACACAGACAGTAGCGGGGTGAGGCCTGTGCAGGAGGGTGAGAGTGGGCGGGAGAGGTCAATAGGAAAAAGGAGACATATATAATACTTTCAGCAATAAAGAATTTTTAAATAAAACACACAGAAGAACCACAATCAGATCTTATATATCCACAGCCCACCTTCCCTGGTGCACTTGATGTCCCTTCACCAGTCACAGCCAACATCTCTCCACTTAACTGTCACTCGTGTCCCAGGCCCGATGGCCCTCTGCACCAAGCCCAGTGAGTCTCACAGATGACCACTCAAGCCTCTAAGCCAGTGATGGCGAACCTTTTGAGCTCGGCATGTCAGCATTTTGAAAAACCCTAACTTAACTCTGGTGCCGTGTCACATATAGAAATTTTTTGTTATTTGCAACCACAGTAAAACAAAAACTTATATTTTTGATATTTATTTTATATATTTAAATGCCATTTAACAAAGAAAAATCAACCACAAAAATGAGTTTGCGTGTCACCTCTGACACGTGTGTCATAGGTTCGCCATCACTGCTCTAAGCTAACCCACAAGATTGACTGCAACCTCCCAGGTCACACCAAGGGTCACAGCCAAATCCTGGTGAAGGTTTAGAGAATATGTACCAGTCCTAATTTCCTCTTGTTGGAATTACTCTTCAGTCTCCAATTCATCTCACGTCCACTCATCTTTTAAAGGCGTTGGCCACTGGGAAACCATTATCTCGCCAACACTCTACACGACCACTTTTGTCCCTATGCTTCACTGTGACACCCACCTCCCACAAACAGGGGCCCCAGCTGGAAAGCCAGTCCTTAGGCCCACACTATCCCATCTGGGCTACTATTACCATTATCATCTTGATTATGATCCCCTATACATTTTTTAATAAATTTGTATTGATTTCAGAAAAGGAGAGGGAGATAGAAACATCAATGAGAATTATTGATAGGCTAACTCCTGCACACCCCCTACTGGGGATCGTGCCCACGACCCCGGCATGTGCCCTTGACTGGAATCGATCCTGGGATCTTTCGGTCCGCAGGCTGAGCTCTATCCACTGAGCCTAACCAGCCAGGGACCATGATTCCCTATATTAAAGTGATCTACAGCCCTGGCTGATACGTGTCTCAGTTGCTTGAGCATCGACCCATGTTGCACTGAGAGGTTGCAGGCACCAGTCCTGGTCAGGTCACATGCCTGTAACCAATCATCCTTGTTTCTTGCGCATGGATGTCTCTGTCTCTCTCCCTCTCCCTGTCTATGTCTAAAATCAATAAAAGTATATATTTTTAAAAGGATACCTGCCCGTTTCTGAACCAGCTCAGTCTTCACTCTGGGCCTGTGCACATTCTCGTCCCTGTGCCTGGGAGGACCTCCCACAACTCATTCCACTCGTTGCCAAAACCAGGTTCCACGTCATAAAGCCCTAGCCGTGGCCTTAGGACTCTGGGCTGAGTGTCCCCAGGGCCCAGGGCAGGAAGAGGGGCCGACAGCCCCAGGACCCCACGACCTCAGAGGCCACCAGAGTGTGAGGTCCTGACATAGCCCCACAGCCCAGTGTCCTCAGCGGCTCTACACCCGCAGGAACCTGTGGGAACTAAAGGGTTGCTGAGGGCCGGGCACCCACCCCAGGACCCAGGGGCTCAAGCTGCTCAGGGCCCTGGCCCCGCCCCGGGCCGGGTGATGCCCGCCTCCCTCGGGGCTCAAGGTCCCTCTGCTGTTCACAACCACCCACAGCCCCATCGCCCTGCTCAGGAAAGTGAAACTCCTCCCGGGACCCGCCTCTCGTCCTCTCTGTCGCCTTTAGACACAAACCAGGCCTGGGTGCCCCCCCTCCCGGCTCAGCCCCCCACGGCGGCACCGCAGCCCGTCGCCCTCCTCCCCCTCACACCCCGGGTCCCCCACGAGGACTCGCTGCGCTGGACGCTGCTCCCTGGGCTGCGGGACCCGAGCGGCGCCCGCACCGAGGCTGGAGGGTCCAATAGGGGTGACGCTGAGTGGACTCTGTCGGCGGAGAGGAGTCGGGGAGCCTCGGGGACCCCAGTCCCGGGTGTTGGGGCTCAACCAGCCTCAGGCCCACCCTGCGCAGCGGGGCGCTGCCTCCCACGCCTCCTCCTACTCGCCACCAACGCTCAGCCACGCGCTGAACCCTGCAGGTCCTTACCGGAAGCCACAACGCCCTCCCCCAGGATGGTACCGGAAGTCCCGCCCTAACTGAAAGTGCACCTACCTAAACTCGCCTACCTCTGTGGAAGCGAGCGCAGTGGTTTCTGGGTGATGTAGTTTTCTCCCGCAGCCCTGGCCTTGACCTTGGTGAAGGTGACTTGGCGCTGCCAGTAGCGCTGGGGGAGGAGATGGGACCAGAGGCCGGGTTCACGGGGACAGACTGACAGGCCCCCCCCCCCCCCCCCGGAGGGGGGACTGGGAGAGGCCCCAAAGAACATATGCACAGGGGAATGGGACACATCTCAACACCATCGAAAATAAAAAATACACATCACATTTTATTAAAAATATACAATAGAGCTCAGCTGGCGCTGCTCAGTGGTTGACGCTGACCGATGAACCGGGAGAGCAGGTTCCATCGCTGGTCAGGCCTGTGCACGGGCACAGGCACAGTGTCCAGCGGGCGACGGCCGCCAACCAGGGATCCGCTCCCATCACCGGTGGTTTCATCTCTCCTCCCCCTTCTTCTCTCTCAAATTAACACAAAGATTTTTTTATGGGACGGAAGGGCCGGCAGGTGTCCAGACCCGCCATGGGGTCGGAGCCGGGTGTTCTCCTGGCTGCCACCGAGGCGGGGCCTGGGGACGCGGCCCTTTCCTGGTCTGCAGGGCAGCCCGGGCCCCAAGTGGCTGAGGCTCCCCATAGCCCGAGGACGCCAAGTCCGGGGCCTTCTCCCAGGGCTTGTCCTTCTTCCTCCTGCAGCTCAGGCGCTGCTCCTGGGGGCGGGGTGCCTCCAGGGCCGCAGGTCCCTCCTGCTTGCCCTCCACCTGCCCTGCCCTTCAGACTGGGAGGCTGCCGCGTCTTGTGGGGTGGGGGCACCTGGCTCCCCAACGCAGGGCACCTGCGCCCCCGGTCTTCCTCCTTCCGGCCCTGTTGGCCGCCCACCTGCTCCTGGTCTGGCACCTGCAGGAGGGGAGCTGGTGGCCTCAGTGTACACACCCATAGGACTCAGGATTCAGGGCTGAGTGTGTCTTCAAGGTCCTAGGTCCCAGGGCAGGAAGAGGGGCTGCACAGCCTCAGGACCCCACAACCTCAGAGGGCACAAGAGTGTGAGGCCCTGACATCAGCCCCACAGCCCAGTCCCCTCAGTGGCTCTGCACCTGCAGGAACCTGTGGGAACTAAAGGGCTGTTGAAGGCCTGGCACCCACCACCAGGACCCAAGGGCTCAGGCTGCTCAGGGCCCTGGCCCAACCCCGGGGCCGGGTGATGCCCGCATCCTTCAGGGCTCAGTCCAGTGCGCACCTGCCAGTGACCTCACCACCTACAGGGTCCTCCTTCCAGCCCCTCCCGCTGGCCTCTCCATTCTAGTCTGTTCTTCCTCTGGACAGTATTGTGAAAACGTCAGAACCCTGCCTCACACAATGTCCATCTACTGATCATGGCAAACAATGACCCCGGCTTCCTGAGAATGAAAGTAAAACTCCTCATGCACAACCTTGCCTCTTGCTGTCGCCTTTAGACACAAAACATGCCTGGGTTTGCTGAACCCTCCAGGCTCAGCCACACCACCATGTCCTCACACAGTGGCATTGCAGCCCACCACCCCTTTCCCAGTTTGAGTTCTCTGGTGACTCTTGAGGTTACAATTTTGACTGAATGACTTCCCACAATCACTACGCTGATATGGCTTTTCTCCAGTGTGAATTCTCTTATGGTTAAGGAGATGGTGACTGGACCCACATGATTTCCCACATTCACTACACTCATAAAGCTTTGCACCAGTGTGCACTCTCTGGTGACTGTTGAGGCTACACTTTTGACTGAATGACCTCCCACAATCACCACACACATAGGGCTTTTCACCAGTGTGAGTTCTCTGGTGACTCTTGAGGTTACCCTTTTCGCTGAATGACTTCCCACAATCACCACACACATAGGGCTTTTCACCAGTGTGAGTTCTCTGGTGACTGTTGAGGTTACCCTTTTCCCTGAATGACTTCCCACAATCACCACACACATAGGGCTTTTCACCAGTGTGAGCTCTCCGGTGACTCTTGAGGCCACACTTATGCCTGAATGACTTCCCACAATCACCACACACATAGGGCTTTTCACCAGTGTGAACTCTCTTGTGTTGAGTTAGGGTAGAGCATTGCCTGAAGAGCTTCCCACAATCAGTGCACTCATAGGGCTTTTCTCCAGTGTGAACTCTCCTGTGTTGAATGAGGGAAAAGCTTTCTCTAAAGAACTTCCCACAATCAGTACACTCAGAGCTTTATTCTAGTGTGAACTCTCTTTTGCCGATTGAGGTTAAATATACGTGTAGAAACTTTCCCAAATGTGTTACCCTCATTATTCACTTCTTCAGAGCAGACACTCTGAGGTTGAATGACTTTCCCGCTGTTGCTGGCAGCGTTTTCATGTCCACCCCAATTGTGATGACTTTTTCCACGGACAAATTCCAGTGAAATCTCACTTTCACTGTGTGGCTCCCCAGAGTTGAGAGTTACCTGGTGCTGGAGAAGCCCTGAGATGCCTGGGGAGACTTTCCCAACCTTTCTATTGGTTGAAGGCACCCAAGATCGGAAGCTGCACGTGGTCACAAACGAGGCCCTGTCCACAGCTTCTCTCCAGGGCTTCTCTCCACTGGCTTCCCTCTGCTGCTGCTGAGGGTTTTCACTGAAACAGAAGTCTCTCACACATGCGTCACTGAAGAATGCTTTCTGCTCAAAGTCTGCTGCTTGTGACTGAGTCAGGTGCAGAATAGCTTTGAACACTGAGAAACACTGCTTACAAAGATGGGTCCTCTGGGTTGCTGGCTCTGTCTTAGAAGCCCTGAGCTGTGACTCTCCTTGTACAGATAAACTCTGCTCAGAACAGGCCTCCTCATCTGTTTCATGCAAACAACCTGCAAAGACAGAAATGCTGAGGAACTGAGTGTTGACTGTGGTGACAGGGGAAATCTGATTGCTAGTGTTTTGCACATAATATATGGGTTCCGGCAACCGTCTGAAAATAAGAGAGGTGCCAGAAGAATTAATAAGAGGCTGCTGTGAAGGTCTCATCCACTGAACAACACAAAACAGGGAAGGCCTCACCAGAAATATGACACAACACATGGCAAGCACCTCATGGAAGAGAAGCCAGATCTCCAGCTCAGTCTTCTGCTAACAGCGCTCAGCAGGGCTTGTTTGATGGTGACAGGGGCAAGCAGTGCAGGAGGTAGATTAGGTCCTATTCCAAGTAAAATTCAGTATAGGAGTAGCTGCTGTTGAGGACTACTTAAGGATGTATGTGCACCTCATAAGACATGTGCAGGTTAATGTGGGAGATACTGCAGAGGCGAGCAGCCAGGACTGGCCCGGAGCATCACAGTTTGAACAGTGTTCAGGGAAGGGAATATTGCGAACAGTTGAAGGAGGGTCTTACAAGAACTGCTCATGGTTCATGTCCGAAAAGACCATAACGTGGCACTGGCCGTCACTAAGAACCCTTAGATAGAAGAAGGAGGGAGAAGTGGAAGCCATGCAGGTGGATTTAGTCACCCTCCCGGGAAGAGAAACTAAAAGCTGGGACCCAGTAAGCTCACTGCAAGGCTCCTGACTCCCAGACACTTGCTGCACCTTTTGAGGCAGTGGGTGTTAGCAAGGTTCCTAGAGACCTTTGTTCAGGGGTCTCCCCAGAGCTCACCCCTGGCAGCCATGCCCATTTTACATGACAGTGGGGGAAATTAGCAGAGCCATTGTCTGGCTATGAGAGAGATAAAGCTACATTTGGAGAATAAAGGAAGAGAGGACATCACCTCAGTACACCAAGAGTGATTTGAAGGTCTTACCTACAAATGAGACAAGTGCAAACACTTCCAGCATCACATCGCAGTACAGAAGTCTCTGAGCCTCATCAAGGAGCCCACACTCCTCCTGAGAGAAGTCAATGGCCACGTCCTCAAAGTCCATATCCTGTCATGATGGGAACAGTTCAGTCCATGATCAGTTTCTCTCCTAGGCTTTTATAGTCATCATGCTCCCCCCTCACACACAACTATTTGTTCCCTCAACTCCACATATCAGAGGAGACTGCAGGCCTTGGTCCCATGCAAGTCACTCTCTCCTTATATTCCTACTGATGCTGTGTCTTCCCACAGCAATAAAGGCAGTTGAGCAGAGAGAAGATACCTGAGCTCTGGGCCTCACATGTAGGCCACACTGCCCCTTGTCAATAAAGTGGGTGTCAAGAACATAGGACAGGGAGAGATGTGAGTGATTTGATGCTGCTCTTGTCAGGCAATCTCCTTGTAATCCCCCAGATTGTTCCTCAAAGACACCAAATACATGGCATCACACTTCCCCCTTACACCCTCATTCCAGGGTGCTGAGGCCATCAGTTCTCACTACCTGCTGCACAGAGTTCTTTGAAAACACTTCTCTCACACAGCTTCCTTCCCAGGCATACAAATTCGAAGGTAACACAGATTTGCCTTGGTGAGCATAAGTGGTTTCCTAATCACCTTCATTTCCAAAATTATTCACCATCTCCATAACCTATTTCTCTCTCACCCTTCTGCTTTACCCACACCAGTGGAGAGTTTCAAGCCCAGGTAACATGGCTGTATTGGTATGCTTCTCATTCCTATGGATCAGTGTCAGCCCTCAACAGCAAAAGGCAGCTGGGTAGGTAAATGTCACCTAAGCTCTGGACCTGGCATGTAGCAACACAACACTCCTCTTTTCAGGCAATTACCCTGAAATTACCCCTATTATATCACCCAGACACCAGCAGACATGGGCTCACCCTTCATTCATTCTAAGGTCAATGTCAGGGCCCTGTGGCCATGAAATCACAATTCACACTCCCTCACCAAGGGCACAAGACTCTTTCTACCACACCTTGTTCACACCTGCCCTCCTACAGCTCCAACCCCATAGGCATCTCCTTGGCCTCTTACTCATTACTCAGCAAGTGTGGTCCAGAGAATGCTTGCCAAATTCAAACAGGATCAAGTCCTGCCCAGACGCTGGGAGTTCACACTCATAGAGGCAGCCTTGAGACCTTCTACGAAGTCCTCTCTTCATGACTCTATTTTCCTTCAACCTCAATTATTGAGAAACACAATCATATCTCAGATCCCCACAGGCCACCTCCCCTGGTGCTGCACTTGATGTCCCTTCACCAGTCACAGCCAACATTGTTGGGGGCCAGATGTAAGCTGGCAAGGTCCTTGCACCTGTAGGGGCTAGCAAGGCTGGGATTCTCACCTATACAGTTTTCTCAGACTTGTTTGGATGGCGTTTATCAGTAGAATAAGAGCAACATTTGTAGAATGAGAACAGCCTTTCATAGCTTACCAAGAAGTCTGTAACTATTTACTGAGATATGCTGTACTGAGAACTTGTCCTTCTGCTGTGTCCCTCCCTTAGAGATTAAGAGGAACAAAGAATACATTCCTCTTGGCAGACCTCCTATTCAGTGTGTTATGTATAAATAGGATTGTGTGGCTAATAAAGTTGCTTCAGTTCATCAAGAGAACTGGGGTCCTCCCGATCCCGCTTTCCTGTCTTTCTTTCTTTTCTCAATTCCCACCTCCCTGCCTCAGCCTGGCTCAACCCTGTCAGGCTGGCCCTGACAGATCTGGCGCCCGAACAGGGACTGAAGAACTGGAAAAAAGACGGTGAGGAACTCCGTCGGGCTTGGAGAGACGACGGTGAGGAACTCCTCCAGATAAAGAATGCACTCGTTAAGGTAAGGGAGGAGCAATTTTTTGATAGTCGGGAGTAAAGCATGGGGCAATTAGAATCTAGAGAAAATGCTCTTTATGGGCAAATGTTAAAGTCTATGCTTAATAGTAGAGGAACTAAGGTTAATGACAAGCAAGTAGAAAATTTTTTAAAATTCATTCAGGAGGTCTGCCCTTGGTTTCCTGAGGAAGGAACCGTTAACTTAGAAACGTGGCAGAAAGTTGAAGAACAAATGCGTGATCATTATAAAACCCTTAGGCCAATTAAGACCCCGGTTGATGCATTTTCCTTATGGAATTTAATACGGGATTGTTTAGATCCCAGGCATGACCATAATCAACCGTCTCTTAAGCCAAAAAAAAAGGAGAAACAGCGTGATAGCACAAAACAGGAGTCTAAAAAAGACAGTGTATTAAAAAAAAATAATGTAACTTTTAAAGACAATTTAACTCCTCAAGATGAGGAGGATTTTGAGGAAGCTGCTGCTCTTTGTCATGATGATAATACAGGTATAGTTCAGGCAAAAGAGGAGAAAAAATGTTTTTCTGCTGGAACTGAAGAGGGCAGTGATATAGAGGATGTGTTGGAATGCTTTTTAGAAAAATTAAAGCTTCTTGGCAAGAAAAAGAGAAGCCGCGGGGGCCGTTCCCGCCGCTCTCCGCTGCCTTGTGCAGCACCAGTTCCACTTTCCCCTCTCCAGATGGCTTTGCAGGAGGCACAAAAGTGTGGTGAGGAATTAGACATTCACGCCTTCCCTGTTATAGAACAGGTGAACCCTCAAATGGGACAGCGTGAGCGTGCTTATGACCCGCTTCCTTTTAAAACCTTGAAGGAATTAAAAATAGCCTTTGCTCAGTATGGGCCTACTACTTCCCCTTATACTTTAACCATCTTGGAAACTATGGCCTCAGAGGCTCTCCCACCCAATGTTTGGAGAGCTATTGCCAAGGCTTGTTTATCAGAAGGGGATTATCTCTTGTGGAAATCAGAATATGATGAAAAGACTAAGGAGCAAACTTCTCGTAATCGAGCTGCCCAGATTAATATTTCTTATGAAATGCTGGTAGATGAAGGAGTCTATGCTGATACCCATAATCAAATTCAATACCCCCAGGAAGCTTATGGACAGATTAATGGAGCTGGGATTAGAGCCTGGAAAAAGTTACCCACCTCTGGTCAGAAAACAGAGGAGCTCTCAAAAATTATTCAAGGGCCAGATGAAAAGTATCAGGATTTTTTCTCTCGGCTATTACAGGCTGTTGGCCGAGTAGTGATAGATGGAGAGGCTGGCATGTTAATAGTTAAACGGTTGGCATATGAAAACGCCAACACTGCCTGCCAAGCTGCACTGCGGCCCTATCAAAGACAGGGGACTCTCTCAAATTATATCCGAATTTGTGCAGATATTGGTCCCTCATATATACAAGGAGTTGCCATTGCAGCTGCATTAAAAGAAACCACCATTGAAAAAATTCTTCAGCAACAATTTAGCACAGGAAAAAGTCCAACATACAAATGTTACACTTGTGAAAAAACAGGACACATAGCAAAACAGTGTCCTTCTAATAAAAGGATTAATAAAGGAAATGGCAGAGATCCCAAACAACCTGGACTATGCCCTAAATGTAAAAAAGGAAAACATTGGGCAAATGATTGTAAATCTAAGACAGATATCCAGGGAAATTCTTTGCCTCAACGCCAGTCGGGAAACTACCAAAAGGGGCCAGCCCAGCCCCGACAAATAATAGGGGCATTGTCTATTTACCCTCCTGTCTCTATGCCATCTCAAGGCCAGCAGGCTGCACAGCACCCAGCCTGCCCCAGAGAGCAAAATAGATACAAGAGCTATTCCGAGCAACCCCCGGAAGTACCGGGCTGGACCTTGGATCCATAGGAATAAAACATTCTGTCTGCCCTGGGTGCTGCCCTTGCCTACTGAAATGTCATTAGATTTAAAACCTCCCACATAGAGAAAAAATGATGATTTCCTTGCATTTCTGATACAGCTACAGCAAATGCCACCGGATCTGAAATTTAAAAATAAATCTGAGATTTCTATACACGTGTAAAAAGAAAACTAGCTTGGAACTAAGGCGCCCATTGTCTGATTTTGGACATTTAGATAGAGTTTTAGACTGAAATCTCTTTGCAAATATAAAAAATAAAACCCAAGACTGATTATTTCCTAACAAAAATAGCAAAATTTAACCCAAAGGAAAAAAGATGCTGGCTAGATTCTAGCAGCAGGATTGACATTTCCATAATAAAGAACAGTTTTTAAATACTAATAAAGAATATTAAAAAGTTAACTTCAAGACTGAAAAGGAAATTCAGTAAAATTGTCTCTGTTACAAAAATTTGCTAAAGAATATACCTTAAAATAATAAATTGGATTTAAATCTCAAGAATTATTAAAATATATTAATTATAAAAATCTAAGTAGCCCAGATAAAAGACTGCTACCCCCTCTATTTAAGGCTGGCTTCCCAAAGCAATTTCTAATAGAGGAAGAGCTAGCCTCCCTTCCCCCAACAGAGCAGATAGGCCAAAAATTTTCTGCCAGTGACAACTTTTAAAAAAAGGCTTGCTTCTCAGTTTCCCATCCTTAGTAGAAAGAATGTAACTAATTTGCATTTTAATGGTTACCTGTTTTCAGCCAATGGCACCCCAAGGCTTTGAGAGTTTACTAAATTGAATTAGATATTCTGAAATAACAAAATGCTAAAGTATTAATCTAAATTTCTCTCATGAAAAATCTAAAGGACAGAATTAAATCTATTGATTATGTCATGTATTTTTAAAGTTTATTCTTAAAAATGTTACTGATTGAGAAATGCTAAATATTTAACTTGCCAGCTAAAAGTTTATAGTTCTAGTTAAATAAACTAGAAGAAATCATATAATTATAATAAAATTTCAACATTTGTCTAATTAAAAAAAAAGAATAAATTCTATTATCCCAACCAAAAATTTTAAATACAAAGATCAATTTTAATTTAATTGATATCTTTTAATAATTATAAAAGGTATATAATCTTTAAATTATATATACACATATATATTTAATACTCTTTTAAATTAGATTTCAAAACTATAATCAAAGAATGACTTTAGGACATTTCATGGGCCCTGAAATGTTTTCAAAAGTTTATTCTCTCTTCTTAA